CCCCTCCAGCCTCCGCAGGACTTGCAGGAACCGCCCGTTCTCCCGCCTGCCGTGGAGAGAAGTGCAGGGGTGTGAGGGACCCCCATGACTCCCGGGCCGCAGCAACACCCCCATCCCCTACCTCCTCCGAGGAAGCAGACGATATCCACAACACTCCCTTCCCAAACACACGCGCTGGCAGGCAGGATCGGAGCTACCCCGTGCATTAAAAACAGGGCGTTGACTCTGAACCCTACTGATGGCCGTGCTCGTAGGCCCACAGCTGCAAAGCTCTGAGCGGCGCCCCCCATCTCACGTCAGCTTCTGCATGAGCTGCTCCTGGTACATCTGGTTGGTGACGTAGGGGATGTAGACCCTGCGGAAAGCCGGGCAGTGCCTCAGAACCACGGCCCCCAGCCCCGCCAGGAAGATGTCCTTGTCCAGCTCCTCCTCCAGCTCCAGGAGAAACCTGCGGAGGCAAGGGAAAGCATCCTGCCGCCAGGAGCCTGGCTCCACTCCCACCGCGTGCTCCTCCCAGGGTCTGCAACGGGCAGCAGGTGGGGTAGGAGTAGCCAAGCCATGCTCCTACCCCTGTCCCTGCAAGCCCAGGACCGCGGCGGCCACCCCGTGCCCAGCCCCCAGGCCCCTGTTACCTGTCGCTGACGCCCTTCACCTGGGGCAGGTTGGAGAAGAGCTGGTGCAGCTCCGTCACGGCCAGCGCGGCTTGCAGGGGCTGCGAGCTCCGGAAGTGGCTCACGGCCACCCCGAGGCTGCGCAGGTAGGTGGCCTCCGACGTGATCACCTCGAACAGCGCCTGCAGCAGGGACCGCGTGCCATGCTCAGCACCCCTGCACCTCTTGCAAGCATGGGGTGCCCAGGCCCTGCATCCACCCCCCACCGCCCCTCTCCCCATAGGGCTTGGCTGTGCCACCCGCTCCCAGCCTGGGGCACGATCCCCTTTGGGGTGGGGAAGAGACCAGACACGGGACGGCCCGGCTACCTCCTGCAAATGGTGCTGCCGGGGCGTGATGCTCTCCAGCAGCCGCTGGCTCTTGACCTCGGGGAGGTCCCGCCAGGAGACGCCGTAGTCGTGGGGGGCTGCGTGGAAGGCAGCGCTGAGCAGGGAGGAGGACAGGAGGCCGGCGAGGGTCAGGCTGGCGTCCACCCGGAAAGACCAGTCCTTGGGCTTCGGCCCCACGGCCTGGAGCTGCTTCACCCAGTAGTCCTGGGAGAGGAGCGCTGGGTGGAGGGAGAAGAGGCATCAGCACGGATGTAGCCGCAGGAGCCAGCGTGCACGGACCCGGCGCTTGGATCATAGCTGGCATCCAACGATCCTCAGACAGGACCCGCTCGTCGGAGCTTGTCTGGGGGGCTCCCCCCACCCGCCAGGCCAGGCCGGGCAGCGGTCAGCACTCACGCATCTCCGCACCCTGGGGGTCCACCCTCCATTTCTCCTTCTTCTCTTTCCTGCGGGTCTGCTGCAGGGACCTGAAAGCAGAAGGGGCTGCATTTTAGACCCCTGGGAGAGCCCCAGACCCCCGCTACCTGCCCCCTGCCAGGGCACCTCGAGCTGGGAGGCCTGGCACTGGATGCATTGGGCTCCACGAGGCCTGGGGAGGAAGGTCTTTGATCCAGGACGGGCGCAGGGGTGACTGGCACAGGCTGCAGCAGCGGGAAGTAAAAAGCCAGGGTGCAAACCCACCCTGGTGATTGGTGCCCTCAGGTCAAGCCAGGGCCCGGGCATTGGGTGCACAGGATTTAGCCCCCACTTTGTGACCGCAGCCAGGCACAGCCACTGGGAGCCAAGGGGAACAGGATCAGAGCGGGGAGTACCCCATCTCCCACAGCCACCGGGCACTGCAGGCTGGGGGAGCCCTCGTAAGGAAAGGTACAGAGCAGGATGAGACCTTCTCCTCCACTGCTGCTCAGAGCGCCCATGAAGCGGGAAGCCCGACTGCACCAGGCGAGCGGCTGCGGGGCATCGAGGGGCACAGATCCCCTGGAGACGGGGCGGTGACCTGGGAGGTTGCAGGACAGGGGTGCAGGAAGGGCCAGCTAAAGCGGCAGAGCAAGGTCCATCCCATGCATTACCTAGCCATCGCCTCGGGCAGGTTGTCCAGGGAGCCGTGCAAGGCCTTGTGCCCGGGACCTGGCACCTGCAGCCTGCTCCCCTCGCCGAGCTGGACCGCGGGCACCGAGGGCAGGGTGCCAGGGGCCTTGCTGTGCTCAGGCTGATTCTCTCCTAGGCAGAAGACCCAGGGGTGAGGTGCAGCCAGGCCCACGCTGCTCCGGACACCTCACCAGACCCATTCACCCCTTGCCCGCTTGCTCCCCACAGCACGGAGAAGCTCAGCACTGCCCAGGATGCAGCCACGTGCTCCAGGGCACCAGCACCCCGGCCCGGGGACCTGCTGGGCACAGCCATGCAGGAGACATCTCGGGTTGGGGGCTACAATCCAGGAGCCCGGCAGGGAGGAGGGAGGCGGTGATAGAGACCCCTGGCACGGCTCCTAGCTGACCTTCAGAGCTGCCCCCCAGGAGCGGGACGCTCTCCTCGGCTCCCAGCTCCAACCCGGGTGCAGGGAACTGGCGGGCGCCGGCGGGGGGCCTGGCCCGGAACAGCCCGGCCAGGAAGGAGCCCCGGTCCCGGCGTCTGTCCGCCCGGGTGCCCTGGCGGGTCAGCGGGCAGGACGCGTGTCTCTTCACGGGCAGCGTGGCCTTGGGCGGGGAGTCCGACCGCGCGCGCTTCCGGCAGAAGAAGTCCATGGGGGCGATGCAAGGCCTGGCAGGATGAGGGCGGCTGGTCAGGGCTTGCTCCTGGGGTCTCCGCAGCCCCCCCGTCCTTGTCCGGCAGGGACCTGGGGCCGTTCCAGCCCAGCGCTCCACCCTGCCCTGCCCCGGGTCCGGAGGTGTGTGCAGGTCCCCCCCAAAGGCCCTGCATCCACCCCAGCCCCAGCTCATCTCCAGGGGAGAGCCTGGAGGCTCACGACCTGCTGGAAAGGGGTCAGGTCCCCCCTCCCCACAGCCCTGGAGCACCCACTTGCAACAGCCCTCACAGCCCCCCATCTCCCTCTGCAAAGACACTGGGCAGGAGCAGGACGGTACCTGGCAGGAGCCCCCAAGCCAGGGAAAAAAGAAGCTGCTTTTGCTCCCACCTGCAGCTAAATAACCTCCCTTGTTAGCAGCTCCTCTTAAAGGCCCCCAGCTGAGGGCTTTTGCTCTGTGGGGTGGAGCAGGTAGCAGTTGTTCCTTTGGTGCAATGAAGAGGTGAGGGCACCCATCTACCCACCTTAGGGGCAAGCCAGGATTTGCCACCGCTGCAGCTAGCCTGGATGCCCCAGCTAGCTGGGAAGCGGAGCAGGGAAAGGCAGCCTGGAGGGGAGGCTTCCAGCTCCTCCACCCAGGTGTGGAGCTAGCATCAGCTCTGCACCGGTGCTGGCAGGGAGTACTTTCTGGATGAGGCCCCGAGCGCGGGCGCCTGCTAAAGACGGCGGGGACCCAGCCGGGCCCCGCGCTCCCTGCCGCTTTGGGGCTGGGCTGCTGCTTGCAGGTCCCCTTTCTGTCCTGGATGCCTCCCATCAGGGACGATCCTGCCTCGAGCAGGGGCCTGGACTCATCTTGCCTGACTTTGCTATGATCCTACCCACGTGCGGGCTCTGAGCAGCTGGGGGCTGGTGGAGATCGTTAGCAAGAAGCGGGTGGCTGCATGGATAGGCTCGGACCCTCCCAGAGGGGCCAAAGGAGGAGCTGCCCCGCACGGCCTGGGCTGTGTGTGAGCTTGGGAGCTGGATGCAGAGCCCTGGGACTGATGCTCGGCCCCTCTGCCGTGTGTTGTGTGCTGTCTCTGGGCCCAGGGCAGGAGCCCAGGCCACCAGGCAGGACGGAGGGCTGTCCTGGCTCAATTCCCGTGCCCTCCTGGCCGGGCACAGCTGGATACGCGGCCGGAGCGGCTTTGCCTGGTGGCTGTGGTGCAAGGCTCGGTGAGGGGTGGTCGTGCCCAGGTCAGAAGATGAGTCCATGTTCGATCCTTCCCCGCCAGCTCTGCCACGAGGCACCGGGTGAGGCTGCCCTGGGCCATAATCCCCCAGGAGGCTCTCGGAGAGCGGCCGTGCAGCCCCCAGCTGCATATCGGTGCCTGCAGCTGCCGTGGGATGGGGGCTGGATGCAGCGTGTCCCAGCCGCTGCCTGGCCCCACCACCCGGGGCTGCTCCGATCCAGGGTAGGGCCACAGGGCCCAAGGCAGGGGCAGATGAGGGGCTGGGGGACAGTGACCGCGGGCATCGGGGCAGAGCTGGCCTGGCACAGCGAGACGGGGCAGGACAGAGGGGCCTGGCAGACCAGAGACTTCCAGGCTAGGGTGGACGGTGGGTGCCGCGGCACAGCTTGGCGAGACACGTGCCCTTCTTCCCCTGCCAGCAAATCTGAGGCATTTAATGGTGCCCATAATGACAGAGAGGTTCCTCAGGACCCTGCCTGGCACCTCGGCTGCAGCTCCCTGCCCTGCCGGGGCCGATGCTCCCCCACCCCTGCGCCCGTGCCCAGGGGTCTTGTCCTTGCGGTGGCTTCGCTGGGTCTCAGCCCAGCCCTCGGTAGGCACGACAGGCCCTGGCGATCATCCTGGGATTTTCTGAGGGAGTCGGGCCCTTCCCTGGCACCCATCCTCCCTCCAGGGCATCCAGGCACCTAACTCCCTTGGGCTCCCTTGAAACTCTGCAGCCACACAGCCGCAGGGGCCTGAAGATGTCCCCTGCTAGATGAGGGGAGCTCGGCTTCGCTCGGTCCTGGCCCCTCGCCCAGCACTCGGGGCAGAGGTGAGATGCCCGCTGCACCGGCCATGCAGCTGTGCCTCCCTGGACCCAGTCGGGATCTGGACCCAAGGTGCCCGCGTGTCCCTCTCCAGGACAGCGGCTGGAGGAGACGGCAGGTCCGTGCAAGGAGAGGCACCCCCGACCTCGTTCCCAGGGGACCCCCCGGGCATGGCCCCGGGTCTCTGTCCAGGGGAGGGGTCCTGCGCGTGCCCGGAGCCTGCCCCGGCGGCTCAGGCCTGGCCCTGCTCCAGCTTGCGCGTGGCGTGCTTGAGGCGGTCGTTCTCCCGCAGGTTGCGGAGCCGGGCGCTGCGGCTGGTGATCTCCTCCACGTGGCCCTTGGGCACCCAGCCCCGCTCGCCGTCCGACAGGCGGATGCCCTCGATCCACCCTGCGCGACAGAGACGGCCCCGCGTTAGCCGGGCAGGGGGTGGGGGGATGCCGGCCAGGCCGTGCTGCGCCGGGCGCTGCGGGGTGCGGAGCCCCTCACCGTCGCTGGTCCTGGTCTTGACAGCCAGGATGTCGGCTTTCTCCAGCGTCAGCTCGTCGTGCTCCTGGGCTTTGTAGGCCTTGATGCACTGCACCTGGGTGCTGTCTAGGAGCAGGACACGGGCGTGAGGGGCCAGCCAGGCAGGCAGAGCACGGCCTGGGAGCTCAGCTTGGAAAACTGGCACCTCCCAAGGGGTGCCCCGCTGTAATGCCACCGGGGTGCAGACCGGTGTGACTGCGGTGATGGGAACTCGGCCACGGTCCGGGGACCATCCCAGCAGAGCGGCTGGGCTGCGATCGGGACGATGCCCCGGGGTCCGCAGCAGAGCCCGTCCTTCCGGTGCCCCGACGGCTGGGGAGCGGGGCAGCTCCCAGGCTGGGCAGGTACCTGCGGTCTCGGTGACGTGCTCCTTGTCCGTCTGGGGGCTGCAGGGCACCATCGCCGAGATCCATCGCTGCTTCTCGCTCCTGCGGGCATCGAGAGAGGCTGGGGAGCAGAGCCCCTGCCCCGCAGCAAGCCACGGTGGGAGCAGGGAGAGAGTATCCCCGAAGGACCTAACCCTGAGCACTGGGTAGCCCCAGTCTGCTCCAGCGCTGGATCGAGGGGTGTCCCGGACACCACCTCTGCTGCTCTCGGGACCCATCAGGTACCCACCCTCAGCTGTCGGGGCATAGGCCTACCCGAAACCATCCAGGGAAGAGGATGCTGAGCTGGCCTAGGGGATCTGGACCGACCCAGCTGACCATGCAGGCACTGTCCCAACATGAGCCAGGGGCTCCTTCTCTCCCTGGCCTGAACCCAGCAGCCCGGCACTCACTCGGTCTGCGCTCGCAGCAGGATCTGGTGCTTCAGGCTCTGGTTGTTGAAGAGCTGCAGGTGGAAGATCTGCCCTGGGATCCCCTGGAGCTTCTTGCTCAGGTCGGTCACTTTGAGCTCGGGCATCTTGGCGTGAACAAACACGGCAAACTTCCCCGTCCTGCAGGCGAGGAGCGATAGGGCCCGCTCTGTGCCTGGGATAGCACCGAACCGGCCGGGCTCTCTGGGCAGAGCTGAGTATCGCCAGCACCTGAGAGAACCCCAGCTGCAAACACCCCATGGGCATCTAATGCCCCATGGCCAGCACCCCTGTGACAGATGCCTGCTGTCCCGGGGGACTCGAGTGGGGATGCCGGGTTGGAGAGAGCTAGACTGGTCCATGCTGTCACCCTGCTGCCATCCCTCTGCTCCCCTGGCCTTGTGCCTGGATGCACCTCTTGGAGGGCCAGGGTCTCACCTCCCCAGGAAGCCCCCCAGGACCCCAACCCGTGCCCCAGCACTCACTCCTTGCGTCGGGACAGCAGGAGACAGTCGTTGAAGAGGTGCAGATACACGGTGCGGGTGCACAGCTTGAACTTGGAGGCGAACGTGCTGAGCAGCGGCACGTCCACTTCCACCAGCTCCCCGTGTTTCACGAGCCAGCGCGACTGGGAGATCAGCGGGAAGATCTGGGGGAAGGGAGGAGGTGGGGAATCAGGCCCCTGGGTCCCGGGAGCTCAGAGCAGCGTGTGCTGATTGCCAGCAGGAAGCAGCGGTGCCGTGGGCGCTTTGGGAGCCTGCCGCCCTTGAACTTGACGCTGAATAGTGAGAGCTGGGAGCTACATCTGCCCCGCTCCACGCTGCGTGCCAGCATGTGCAGTACCCATTGCCCCAAGCCGGTTCCTTGCAGGTCCCGTCTGATACCTGACCTGAATGCAGCCCCTTCGGGCAGGGCAGACGTACCCAAGCACAGAGGTGCGTGGCTGGGTGAGCTCGTCTCTGCAAGGTCCCAGTCTTCGCTGCTCTCCCTGGAGTCACTGCCTTGCAAGAGATGCCCGGTTCTTTCCCCAGTCCCTGCCCTATGCCAGGGGGAGGGATAGTCCCGGTGCTCACCTTACTCTCAAAGTGGATTTTCTTGTTCAGGTGAATGAGCTCCTCTGTCCTCTTCATGGAGCGGACACTGGCGTTGCACTCCTTCACCAGCTGCGGGGAGACGCGTCTCTTAGGGGCCTGCTCGTTGCTCCCCTCCGGCCAGCGGAGAACGCACAGCAGCCCCCATGGACCCCCTGATTGCTGGTGTCTGGGGGTCTCCCACCCCAGCCGACAGGCCTTCAGAAAGGGTTGTTCCCAGGGCCTGCAAACTAGAGCTCCCCCAGGCTCTGGTGGGGTCTCGCCCGCACGTCCAGAGATGCAGCGATGCACCCGCAGGCCCTGCTCTGCTCCGCCGTGCCCTCCCACCGCACCGGAGCAAGTGCCCAGGCGTCACTGCCAGGCTGGCACAGACGTGCCCCGTACCTTCTTGAGCTCGTTGAAGGCTTTGGTGGCCGTGTCCTCGTCCCGGGAGCCCTGTGGGGTCCGTTTCAGGATGTTCTGCAAGCAGGAGACGTATGGAGCTGAGGTGCCCAGGACGTGCATGGGATCCAACCGGCACCACGCCCCGCGATCGGAGATCCCTCCCATGCATCCAGCCCCGGCATCGCTGATCAGGAGGACTAGCCCAGGGCGGGTATGAGACCCACTCCGATCCAGGCTCTGCATTTCTCCCATCACTTTGCACCGCCACAGTGTTAGGGAGATGCCAGAGCCCGGTCACCACCGTTGCAGCACGAAGCTCTCAATTTATCTATTGCACAATGCCGGTTTTGTTCCAAAAACCACCCAAAAGGCCTTTAAATCACAGGAGCCTAGAGAGGTTGGGCTGCAAGGGAGCTCCAGTGGTCACATCTGGATCAGCCCTGTCCAAACCATCCTACACACATCCATGCTCTAACCTCTTCATTGCTACTAAGGTCTGCTTCCCAGGCCAGTGCTCCCTTTCTCTGCCCTGCCTGCCCCCTGCTCTGTGCCGAGGGCTGCTTTCCTGCTCCCACAGCTCTCTCCTCCAGTTATTGCCAGTCCCTGGAGTGGCAGCTGCACTGGGGAGGGCAGGGAGGGCAGTTCAGGGGCAGAGGAGCAGGGAGCAAGGGGGATGGAGGGGCCCGGTGGGCACTAGGTTGGAGCCAGGGGCCACCCCTAATTGCACTGCAGGTGAAGCTCCCATTCATGCCGTCCCAGACCGGGGGCACGAAGAGCTCTCCTCAGCTGTACATGCCGAGCGCTGGGCACAGAGAGGAGAGGGGACTCGCCGGACAGCCGGGTGGCAGAGATGGAGAGAGGAAGCCAGGCCTGCGGCCCTGAGCCGCTGCCCTAAGGGACTCCCCGTCTGCCTGAAGAAGGGTGTTTGTGCCCAAAAGCTTGCAAAGAACAGTTTTTCCAACTACTGAGTTGGTCTAATAAAAGAGATCACGTCGACCTTGTCTGCCTATGTCCTTAGACCAACACGGCTACAACCACCGGCCCTAAGGGACCCGGGTTTCTACATGCTGGTCCCAGGTGACCTCCCTCCGGGGGCCCGGTCGGCAGGGCTCACCTCCACCAGCATCTTCAGGCGCATGATTCTCTGGAAGGGCAGGATCAGGAAGGACGTGAGGGGCAGGCGCTGACACACGGGCCCCTCTTCCAGCTTGGCCAGGATGCCTGGGAACTTGGCATTGTCCTGCCTGCAAAGACAGGCATTGGGAGGGTCCCAGGAGGTGCGGAGGGACCGGGGGTGCTCCCGGCGGGGGGAAACGTTGGGTTGCCCGTACAGAGTTTCCCATGGAGGAGCTGGGACAGCACCGTGGAGATGGGGAGGGGGTGGGTGAGTCCCCCGAGGACCCCATGCCCCCACCCCCGGCTCCCCACGGAGAGCGGGGCACGCACAGCAGGCGCTGGTAGGTCTGCTCCTGGTAGGCCTGGTTGGTGACGTAGGGCAGGTAGACGCGGCGGAAAGCGGGGCAGTGGCGCAGCACGATGTCGCACACGTCAAAGAGCAGGATGTCCTCCTCCAGCCGCTCCTCCAGCTCCAGCAGGAACCTGCCGGGGTCACGGCACCGCGCGGGGGCTCAGGGGAGCGGGCACGGCCCCCTGCCCCACTCCTGTGCCCCTCGGGGAGGGGTCTCTACGGGGCTCGAGCGGGCAACCTCTGAGCTGACCTTTCGCTGACGTCCTTCACCTCGGGGAGCTTGGAGAAGAGCCACTGCTTCTCCTGGGCTCCCAGGCACTCGTTCAGCTCCCGGGAGTTCATGAAGTGGTCCACCGCGATGGACAGGCTGTGGATGTACGAGGCCTCCGAGGTGATCAGCTCGAACTTGGCCTGCGGGTGCGGGGGGAGAGCGAAGGCGGGGGGCAGAGGCCCCGAGTTGGGGATGGCCGCGTGCCGCTGGCATCGCCCCCTGCTCCCCCCTGGGAGCACACACTGGCAATAGATGCCACGGCACCTTGCAGCTGCCTTGTGCCAACCCCCATCACACCATGGGGAGGGCGATGCCCAGTCCGTGCCAGCACCCAAACCAGTGCCAGCAGGCTGAGCGCCCACCTCCTGCAGCTTGCACTCCTGGAGGCTGATGGTGCTGAGGACCCCGCTGCTCCGCACGTCCGGGATGTCTTGCCACAGCGAGAAGGTGGAGCCGCGGGACGCACGCTGCGAGCGGAAGGAGCTGCTGGGAGACAGGTTGGTCTTGGGCGGCGCCAGCGCCTCGTCCTCCTCCTCTGCCAGCGCGTCCTCCCGCTTCTGCCGCTGGATCTCCCGGGCGATGGCCACGTCGCTGTACTCCTGGTACAGGATGGCTGCGGGGCGGCAGGGCGGGATTCAGGCCTCCTGCGCCGGGCACCGGCGCTACACCGCTACGGCAGAACGGTGCCCTCCGCCCCAGCACCCAGGGCAGGGCCCGGTAGGAGGCTCGTGCCTGCCCGAGCTATGGGGGCTTGGGGAGACGGGTGCACAGCCCACCTCCGGGGGCAGGAGGGCTGTGGGCTGTGCCCTCCAGCATGGCGTGGGGGGGGCGCTGGCTCTCCTCTCTAGGCTCCCATGCCCTGCCCTTGCCCAGGCCGCAGGGGCCAGGGACCGGGGTGGGACCGCGGCTGCTTACAGTTCAGGAGGAACCGGGACTGCCGCCTCTCGTGCTTCAGCGAGGCCCCCCCGGGGGTCTCCTGCTCCGCCTTGGTCCTAGAGAGAAGGGGAAAGGCCCCGGCCGGGCACGAGGGCTTAGACCTGCCCCTGCCCAGGCGACCCCACACCCAGGTGTCGTCGCCCTGCATCTCCCGCATCCCGAGAAGAGCCACCGGCCTGTACCTGGGCCAGCCGTTCCCGCCGTCGCTGCCTGGGGGCGGATGCTCGTCGGCGCTGCAGCTCCGCTCCCGTCCTCCCAGTTTCCCTGCAACGAGGGGGAGCAGGTTTGCACGGCCCCTGAGCCGGCGTCTTCCTCCCCTCCCAGGGGCACTGCGGTCCCCATCTCGGTGCATGAGGGAAAAGCCCATAATGCACCTGTGCAGAGATAGGCACCGCTTGCACCCACAACCCCTCGCCTGCCTTGTGTCCGAGCTCCTTTCTCGCCGAGCCGGGGGGCCTGCTGACCACGGGGAAGGGGAGAAGCGACCCACTGTGTGGCAGAGTAGGCTCCCCACCAAAGAGGCGGCAAGGCCACGGGCATTTGGGCTAGGTGTGAAGACCACACTCACCTGAGAGCAACAGGAGCGGGACAGAGGAAGGACACTAACTCACAGGCAATCAAAAGCTCTGAGCCAACCACACCAGTGTGACCAGTAAAACCCAGTGCGAGAACCCCAATACCTTCCTGGCTTGCCCCAGCTCCTTTCTCCTTGGCAGCGCTCCGAGCGGACAGGGACTTGCCCAGCTTGAGGGAGAAGGTGCTGCGGCGCTGAGACAGCTGCAGCCGGTTCACGAGCTCCGAGGCGGAGAAGCGTCTCCTCTCCTGATCCACCGAGGCCTTGGCGCTCCGGCCGCCCGCGTGCGGGGGCAGCGCCAGGTCCAGCGTCTCAGGCACCTCGCAGGGATACCCCTCCGGAGCCGGCCTCAGCGCCCGCAGTGCCATCTCCCCCAGCGTGAGCTCCCCCGCGCGCCGCGTAGCCTCGGGACACGGGGATCCTGTGTCCCCTTCCAGGCTGGGGCTGCTGTCGCTGGGGCTGTCCGGGGAGTAGACCCGGATCTTCCTCCCTGCAAGGAAGGGGGGAGATAGTCACCTGCACTGGAGGGAAGCGTGGGATGGGGCTTCAGCCGCACGAGGCTGCTTCCCGCTCCTGGATGCATGCGTGCAACATGCTCAAGCTGGGGGAGGGAGGTGTGACTCAGGCAGGGTGAGTGTGTCGCACACTTGCACCCCCCCATGCTCTTGTGAGGTAGGCCTGCAGGTTACAGATGGGGAAACTGAGGCACAGAGGCAGCCAATGGCCTCCAGACTCGCCACTGCAAAGCTTTCTTCGCTCCCGTGCCTCACCACGCCGCTCTTCGCACATGCGCGCTCCAGCGGGAGGTGCAACCCAGAGCTAAAAACCCTGGAAGGCTAAGTGATGTGCCCAAGGTCGCGGGGCAGTGGCAGAGCCGCTCAGGGAGCTGAGCCAGGTCCAGTCCCAGGTCACGGCCTGTCCTCCTCAAACAACCTCCCACTACACGAGCGGGCTCGGTGTGGGGCGGTCCCCGGCTGCCTCTGGGCCGCGGGCTGCTGGGTTCTCCGTGCACGGAGAACAACAACCGTAGGTGGGTCTCGTCCCAGGCGAGTCCCCCGCGGGGAGTACTCACAGGCCAGCTTCTCCTTGCCCGTCCCCTGGGACCCTCGCCGCTGGGCGGCCGGCCCGCCGAGGAGCTCGTGGAGAGAAGAGTCGCTGAGCGATGAGGGTGAAGAGCCGGACACCTCGGAGGGGCAGCCGTGGGGCCAGCTGTCCGCCTTGCCCTGCACCTGCCTGCCCTGCTGGGCGCAGAGCCCTGCTGTCCCGGGCTGCGAGCCCCCGTCCCCGGCGCAGCTTCCAGAGGGGACCCAGGCGTCCGGGATCCAGCCCGTTTCGTGGCAGAAGTCTAGGTAGCCCTGCGGGGCGGGGGGCCAGCCTTTGGGGCATGGCGGGGGGCTTTCCGGGCCCTGGTCCTTGGAGGAGCTCTGGAAGAGGCTGCGATCCCCTGGAGCCGGCGGCTGGAGAGCGGGCAGCTCCACGAAGGACAGGCTCTCCTGCTTGCAGACAGCCACGTGGTGCCTGGCCGGGCCCTGGGGCTCACCCACGGTGAGGACCCCCATGCCCTCGCTGGCGTGACGGTACGGCAGCGAGGTCAAGTGCGGCTGGAAGTCAGGCCGGGGCCGGTAGTCCATCCCCAAGGGCAAGGCCGGGCCTCAAACCTGGAGGGGGGAGACACAGCAAGGCATGCATCAGGGATGGGGCAAGGCACGGGGGGCACGATGGCTTGGTGAAAATCCCTGCTCCACGCCAGCCAACGGCCACCGCAGTGTCTGCCCACGAGGCTTTGGCCACCGGTGCACACTGCAGGGGCCGTCTGGGCCATGTGCCTGGGAGAAAGAAGCCCCTTCACTTCTCCCTGCCTCGGCGGGCGACGATGCAGCCCAGCTCCCTCCTTCCCGCGGCCAGGAAACCCGGGCGTCACCTGGAGCAGCCGGGCCCGAGGGAGCGAAGCCTCCCTCCAGCGACTGCCATCACGGAGCTGCCTGCAGCGGGGAAGCCCTGCTTCGGCTGCCAGGGTGGTTCCCCGCGCACAAAGGATCCCATTCATCCGTGCCCGCGCGTGACCCGGAGCCGTGTTTGCTTTCGCGGCTCGATGGCCGTTCGTGGAGCCGGGGGAGCTGATGAGCTGGCCGGGGACCGGACACATACAATGGCTCTGCTTTATCTGCTCCCTGCCCCAGACATGCGGCCGGATCTCCGGCAGGGGTAAGTCCACCCAGAGCCACTGGAGCCCTGGAGCCTCAGTTTTTCCATCTGCAAAATGGAGCTAATGACCCCAACTTCCCCTGCAATCTACTTTATCGTGACCCACAGGTTATTTTCCTTCTTACTGACACCTGGAGAGACCCTGCCAGCCTTCAGCTCGACGGGAACAGTGCCAGCCGCTGAACCACCCAGCACGGACTGGTCTCCCGCCCACTACTCTCCAGGCCGCTTTGCTCTGGCGCGCCGATCCCGAGGGGACCGGGACCCCAGAGAACGTCTCCTGTCCAGATCAGAAGGGAAATGTTTCCAGGAGATGGCTGGATGCAGATCCCGGGAGGCCTGATCCAACGCCCCTGGACAGCACCAAGAGGGGCCAGCTCCCCTCCAGGACTGGGTCTGGATTGATCCTATTTAGAAGGACCCAGGCGTCCTGGCTGCCGGTTCGCACTCGGCCCCTCTCCGTTTCTGCCCTGCGCGGCACCACCTGCTCCCACCCAAAGCTGGTACAAGCAGAGGCTGCAATCGCCCCTCTCTCCCCTTCGCCGTCCCTCTGCCCAAGGAGCCCAGCCCTGTATCAAGGTCAAGACCAGGAAGCTCGCTGCCACCTCCGCTCGACCAGCCGGCGAGGGTGGCAGCAGCTGGGCACCGTTTGGCTGTGGGCTTCACCCTCCCCGGGCTGTCTGCATGGCAGAGACACCGGGAGGGAAGAAGATCCCTCCAGCCGGCAGCAAAGACTTGCCCAGAGCAACAGCTCTGCTGCAATTAAAACCAAGACTCCTGTCCTGGAAATCACGGGCGCGCGGGCTTGCAAACAGCTGCAGGGTGGCACCGAAATGGCTGCGGGGACAGGATCTGCGGCATCTGTCTCCCCTGGCAGGGAGGGGTGTGAGGGGCTCAGGGCTGCTGGGGTTTCCCCCCAGGGCTTGAATCTTACCCCTCGCGCCTCGCTGCCTGCTGAGTTGGTCTCAGGTGACGTTGGCACCCGTTGCCCTTTGCAGGAAGGTGACTGTGACCCGGGGCCAAGGGGCAGCAACGTGCCAAGGGGAACGGAGGAAGAAAGCATCAGAAATCAGAGGCGTGTTGAAATCAGCCTCCTCTTGAGACTACCCATGTGCCTCCTCTTGGCAGCCCTGCAGGGGTGCCATCATTAGGGTTCAGAGTCAACCCCCTGTGAGGGGACAGGGCGCATGTGCTGGTTGCTCTCTTTGCAAGCAGTTGGACTAATGGAGAGCCCACCTGGAGGGATTTAGGAAACCCAAGAAGGGTGAAGGACTCTGGCCCACGGCAAAGCCATCCCGGCGCGTTGCTGCTCACCGGTCTCCCGGAGAGCGGGGACCGAGCGGGATCTGTAGCCAGGGTCACTATCAGCGTTGGCCCGAGCAATGGGTCCACCGAGCGCTGGGGAAGGTGGCCGAGCTCCGCACCGGCCTGCTTGAAGAGCTGGCACGGAGGAGCTCCTTGGTTAAACAGTAACCCGTGTTTCAGAGGAAGAATAACTCCCGAAAACAAAGGTTGGTGTCTTACAGCCGGCTTATCAGCACCGAGGGCTTGCACCGGCCCCGCCACCCCCAGCGTGCTGTAGCTCCCAGGGGGAAAATGGGTGGGGGAAGAAATGCCCCACACTGCAAAGCCTTATAACACCCCCAGACTGCTGGCAACGCTTCCCCAGCGTCAAGGGGTGTCTCAAATGGTCCCCAAACGCACACGATGGTTTTTCCGACCGCTGCTGCCCCAACGACTGGCAAATTCAAGTGCAACCTTCATGGCAAGTCTCGGGCTGACCAGCAATTGGGAAGGGGGTCCCGGGCTCCGCGCAGCCCGACTCTGGGTTACAATCCCAGCACGCTGCCCTTCTCCGGCTCGGCGGCTGGGGGACCCCCTCCCAGCGCTGGCTGCAAGGCAGAGCCAAGCCGGATTTCAGAGCCGTGGTGCACAACGCAAATATGGCACGTACCTCGGCCTTGTTGTCTTGGGTCTAATTACATCCGATACGCTCGTTAGGAGCAACGCGTCGGCGCTTGGGGGCCGTGTTGCTCCTAAGCAGCTGTTGCTGTTATGGGAAGCGGGTTCTGAACGCCTACTAGGGGAAGAGTTGGGAGTGGGGAGGGGAGGTTGCTGCGAAAAGGTCATATCGAGCGGTGCTGGGACGAGGTTGTTGCTCATATCAGGTGTTGCTGCAAATGGGCGTGGACTGCATTATGGAGTCTGCTTTGGTTGTCCCTTCCCGGTGGTTTCTGCCAGAGCGGGGGGCAGAGTTAAGGTTATGCCATGGCGGGTGCTAAGCACCTTCATGCTACACGGGGCATTAATGAAGCTCCCGACAGTCAACCGGGGTAAACGAGTGTCTGTTGAGCCAGGGGGGCTGCAGCGGGCACTGTCCTGGGTGCCGTCTGGGCCTAATGGTGTCCCTTCCTTGCCCCTGCTCCAGGCCTGGTTCTCCTCCTCCCCAGGAGGGGATGGAAGGGGACAAAGCCCCCCCCTGCCTGGATGCAGCTGGCAGGAGCGGATCCCAGGGAAATCCCGGAGCGGAGACCTGGAGCCGGGAGAGCTGGGGGGGCTGGGAACAGGACTTGGGGAAGGGGAGCGAATCCCACCCCAGAAAGAGCCTCCTGGCTTTGGCAGCCGGGTCCAGTCCTAGGCACGAGAGCAGCAATTGGGGGGCAGGACACCTGGGTCCCAGCAAACACGGGGCCACAGGCCCTGGTGTCTCCCTGGCCAACCTCCCTGCATCGGCGGAGAACCAGGGATGACACCACGGAGCCCAGAGCCCCGTCTGGACAGGAACCAGAGCCACCAGTCCGGAGGAGGCTTCGGATGCTGGTTCTGGGGTGCAGCACCCCAGCCCCCCGCTGCAGGCAGCAAGCTCCCCCGCGAGCCCAGGACAAAGGCCACCCCGCGTCCCTCGCAGGAGGAGGGAGCAAGGAGGGAGGCCACGTGGTTACCCAGCGGGCACTCGGCCAGGGCCCCGGGGCTACTCCATTTCTCCTGGGAGTCGTGCCAAGGGATCTGTTGCGACCAGACCGCGCTCAGCTCAGCGCCACGGAGGGACGGGGGCTCGGCTGAGGGGGGACGAACATGCCTACCGAACCTCCCTCCGCCTGGCGGGCTGTCCCCTTGCACCCGCGCGGGAAGCGGCACCGCTGCCCAGCTGAGCTCCTGGGCCTGGACACGGGCCCATGCATGGTGGGGGCGGTGGGATCCCAGGAACAGCCTTTGCACCTCCGCTCGCTGAGCCCAGGAGATGCCCTTCCTTGGCTCCAGCCTCTGTGCCCCATGCCAGGACCTGCCCCAAGGTGGCTGGGCAAGATCCTGGCCCTCGGGGGTCTACCCCGGCCGCTTGCTCCGTGCCACCCAGAACAAAGGCAGATGGAGCCGAGGGGGAAGGACGGGACGAGAGGTACCTCATTGGCACGCTGGTGTCCCCCGCTGGCGGCAGCTGCAGCTCCAGGGAGGTCTCCCCTCCCTCCTGCCTCGGCGCCCTCCGCGACGAAGCCCCGCTGCCCAGCGCTGCCGGGCCCCGGGAGGCGCCTCAGCGGCCGTGCCTCCGCTTGGCGCTGCCCCGCGTCTCCCCCTCCGCCGGGAGATTTATTCGCTTCATCTCCGGCACCTGCTGGAGCTGCCTGAGCCGGAGCTGCCTCTGGGTAGCCCCAGGCCAGCGCGGCGCGGGCGGGCGTGTATGAATCCCTCGTCTGTGCGCCGGCTGCACGGGCGGCGGAGGGAGGAGGAGGAGAAGGGGGAGACGAAGGAGCTCGAGGGAAGCGGTGCTGTGCTGACTTGCCCGCTGGCTTCTCCTCTGCCGCCCGCCCCACCCTCCCGCTTCCCCAGGGACATGCCTTCGCAGCAACGAAAACAGGTTTGTCTGGTCGGGAGACGCGTGGGGAAGGTGCCAGAGGTGGAGAGGGAGCCGCCGAGCCAGACAATAGCGGCCCTGTCCTCCCGGCCAGGCTTGGACGGGGAGAGCGGGAGGCGGAGGGCGCGGGACAGGCCAGGGCCTGGACGTCCCCAGGGCTGCGGGGCAGCACTCGGAGGCAGGCGGTCCCGGGGTCTGCTCCCCTCTCCGGGCGGTGCCTCACATCCTGCAGGCCCAGCTTTTGCACGTCCAGCCATTTCCGAGGCACGAAAGCATTGGCACAGACCCCCTGTCTGCCTGGAGACACCTCATCCGAAGCCCAAACCCTGCCCGGGGCGTTAACTCTGGACCCTAGTGATGGCAACGTGCCCGGGATCTGTATTTGCAGCCAGCTGTTTGGTGGAGGTGCTTTGTGCGGGGGGCTGGATCCGCTGGGCCAAAGCAGCAAGTTGGATGGCTGGAGGAAGGATGGGCATGGCAGAGGGCGCAGCGGGGAGGGAGAGGCTGTGGCTGGCAGCCTAGGCACCGTGGGGATGGGCACAGGCAGAGGGTGCAGATGGTGGAGGGGTGGCTGGCAGGGCCGGACCTGCGTGGGTGCTCGAGGCGGCGGGGGGAAAGGCTTCCCACCCGCACACCAGGAGCAGCGAGTGGGAGCAGAGCCTGCTCCCAGAAAGCCGAAAGAAGAAAGGGGGAAGGAAAGAAGGAAGAAAAAAGGAAGGAAAAAGCCCCCCTCGCTGCTGCGGCGTTGTCAACACAAGTTCAAGGCCAGGGGGGAGTTTCGGAGGCAACGCGCCCCAGCCCTGTTCACAAGCAGCGTCCTGTCCCCCTCCCACCCCACCTGGCTGGCATGCCCCCTCATTAGCCACCCCCTCCGGCTGCCTTTAATCATGTCAGATCTCAGCAGATAAATCAGCCCGCCGGCAGGGG